TGTTACACATGCCATGGAAGGGAATGTTCGAAAAACCATAATAGGGGCACTTTAAATTCAACCTTAAATAGATAGTTCACCCAGAAAGGAAAATATCATCATCATTTACTCACACTCATGTTGTTCCAAATTTGTTGATGGGACTCCATTGAGTATTTTTTTCCCCCTCCGTAATATGGAGGTGTTTTTTTAATGGTTTTATGGTTACCCATATTCTTAAAATATCTTCTAAATGTTGACAGAATTTTCATTTTTTGGTGAGTTATCTCTTTTGGTAGATCTAGAAGCTGCAGAGGTGGTTTCTTAGATACGCACCAAGGATTTAGGTGGCCTTTGCCATATTTTCTGTTCTAAAGGTCCAGTAATGTGGTAAATGCCTTAGGGATAATTTGTACCTTTTTTAAACCAACCTTGAGACGTACTAAGGACAAATACTTTGCTGACACAGATAACTTGCAGATTGGACACTTACATGCCCTCAAGACTTTTACATTAATGTTTAAGGAGGTTTTCAGACACTAAAACACCCAACATGTGTAAATGAAGTTCATGCTTATTTAAACAAATAGATTCAAATGTATAATTTATACCTTAAACTTATCTTTTCATGTGATCTTTTGTAGGTGTTGGCATCACAATGATGCTGGTTAGCACTTTTGTGGCAATCTACTATAATGTGATCATTGCATACAGTATCTACTACCTGTTTGCATCTTTTCAATATCCTCTCCCCTGGAGTGTCGAGAACTGCAACTCAACAGGTGTGTTATACTGCTTCTCTTCTAAAGAGGCCAAATTTGCTGTGTCAGACATACCATGACTATTTGCTTAGATAATGAAAGTATTTGGATTATTCCAGATGAACTGGCTTTTTAAGGAATATGGGCTTTCCGCACTTAACTCTGTGACATATTTATCTGATGGGGAATTTCCCTACAGCTCTGTGCTTAAAGATAAGATATTACAACCATAACTAGTTTAGATCCAACTACTGTTTCGCATGTTCAAAGTATTTATTTATAAAGATACTGTACAACCGACTAATAGTGCAGTAAATTGTCGTTTACACCGAATGTTGTATTTCAACAACATTTCTGCTGCAGCACTGAATGTGACTGTTGGGAATCAAACCTGCCAGGATGCATCCTTAGCTAGCCAGAGCCTCAGCGAGAAATACTGGAGTAAGTTGACACTTGTTTTTATACAATTCCTCTTCAGTGAAACAGCTTGTTGTCACATTTCATTTCTTCCCAAGTTCTTGGATAAAACACAGACATGTTTAATATCTCAAATTAGACCCTAGATTTGTAACTTATTGTTTTGGGTTGTGTCAGTTCTGTAAGCACAGCACTAAAGACTTGCGGAGTGTAGTTTCTCTCCTGTTCTGAAGTGTTTCCTGTTGAAACAGGAAGTTTAGGTGATCTATCTTGTCGTTTGATGTTTACAAGACAGTAATTGTAAGATGGAAACCACAAACACAAAACTGTAGGTGTAAAAAGTGCCAAATGTTTGGTTTAAACCTAACACCACCCAACACATTTGTCTGATTTTAGAATGATTTTTGATATTTTAATAATTGTATAATGTTAATGGTAATGGTAACTATACAATCCTGTTCAAAAGTTAAAGATATAATACTTCCATTGAGCAAGAATGCAGTAACAGTAAAGACATTTATAATTTTACGAAAGATTCTGATAAATTTATTTTCTTTAAAGAAGCCTGAAAAAATATACCATGGTTTTCATAAAATCATCAAGCAGCACAACTGTTTTGATAACATTGATAATAATAAGAAGAATGTTTCCTGAGCACCGAATCAGAATGATTTCTGAAGGATCATGAAAATTATATATATATATATATATATATATATATATATATATATACAGTATTTCTCAATACTAATGCTTTTGCTATATTTAAAATAAATAAACAAACAAACAAACAAACAAACAAATGCATCCCTGGTGAGCATAAGACTTCTTAAAGGAGTAGTTCACTTTTAAAAAAACTTACCAAAGTTTAAGTCTTATAAGCTCAAATGGTCGCCTTGCTCTGTTCTGTGCCTTCGTGAGTCTTCTGTTCGAACTCGTTCATCAAAATGAACGAATCTTTTTTCATATCATTTGGTTCATTCAACGAACTAAATGAACGAGTTGACTCGGTAAAAGATTCGTTCATTTTGATGAACGAGTTCGAACAGGAGAGTCACGGCGTCATTAGAACAGGCGAACAGACCATTTGAGCTTATAAAACTTAAACTTTGTTTTTTTTTTCAAATGAGCGATCGTGTCGCTAGATAAGACCCTTATTCATCGTCTGAAATCGTTTAAAGCCCTTTGAACAGTTTGAAGTTTGCACTGAAACTGTCTTTTGGACCTTGAACCGTTTGGTTCCCATTGAAGTCCATTATATGGAGAAAAATCCTGGAATGTTTTCATCAAAAACCTTAATTTCTTTTCGACTGAAGAAAAAATGACATGGACATCTTGGCTACTAAAATGTCTAATAATAAATAACATTGAAATAATTAAAATATCTTTCTCCATTTAGTCTTGATTGATGATAGTCAACGGGTCCATGTCACGAGGGCAAACTTGCAGTTTGATACCCTGTTATAACCTAGAAAATAACCCTGTTCCAAAACAACCTTGATCCCTGAGTACACACACAGTAGGCCACATTCATTCATGCGTTGTATGCAACTGGTATTCTTTCTCTACATTCTTTTTGTTGATTGTGTGTTTTCCTTTTTACATTGAATATTTTATTTGTCCTCAGTGAGGTGGCCCTTCAGCGCACTAGCAGTATGAATGAAACGGGGCCAGTGGTGTGGCACCTGGCCCTCTCCCTGCTGCTCTCCTGGATACTAGTCGGAGCAGCTCTCTTCAAAGGCATCAAGTCCTCTGGAAGGTTAGTGTTTCACCCCAGAAACATTAAGTTGTATCTGTACAATAAATTGTATTAAGACGGCAAGAGCATTTTTGGATTCAATTGAACATAGATGGTATGTTTCAGGTGGTGTATTTCACAGCCACTTTCCCATACCTCGTCCTTTTAATCTTGTTAATTCGTGGTGTAACTCTAGAGGGAGCGATGGACGGCATTGAGTTCTACATCGGTACAAAGTCCAACATGACCAAACTGGCTGATGCTGAGGTTTGTAAAGATCGAACCGTACTTGAATACACATAAATCATACAGTTATTAACGCAGGCTGTTTTTATCGTAGGTTTGGAAGGATGCAGCTACTCAGATCTTCTTTTCTCTTTCCATTGCTTGGGGTGGTTTGATGACTCTGTCCTCTTACAATAAGTTTTACAACAACTGCTACCAAGACTCCATTATTGTGTGTGTTACAAACTGTGGTACCAGCATCTTTGCTGGCTTCGCCATATTTTCTATCCTTGGGCACATGGCGCATGTCTATCAGAAACCAGTGTCAGAAGTTGCAGATGCAGGTAGGATCAGAAATGTAAAGTGTTATTTTTAAGTGCTGTATCTGCAGAACAATTTTTAATACAAAGCAAATAATAAAATGAGTAATTTGTGATGAAAGCCATAGTTTAACCAAAAAATAAATGACAAACGGTTCTTTAGCTTATAAAATGTTAAAAAATGGTTCTTTTAAAAACTGTTGACTGAAAGGTATGGTATTCGTCACGGAGTAAAAAAAAAAAAAAAAATACAAAATGTAATTGCGACTTTTTATCTCACAATTCTGACTTTTTTTCCCTCACAATTGCAAGCATACATCTTGCAATTCTGACTTTTTTTCATAGTTTATGAAAAAAACATAGTTTCATAGTTTTTTTTTATAGTTATAAAACTATAATTGCAAGATATAAACATACATTCTGAGAAATAGTCACAATTGTAAGAAAAATTAGATATAAACGTGCAATTGCGAGTCATAAAGTCATAATTGTGAGGTATAAACTTGCAATTGTGAGACATAAAGTCCAATTCTGAAAAAAAGTCACAATTCTGATATTTTCTCACAAGTGCAAGTTTAAATCTCGTAATTCAGATTTTTTTCAGGATTGGAAGATGAAAACTCACTGCTGCAAATTCTGACTTTATAACTTGCAATTGCACATTTATAGAATTGCTACAGTAGATGTAAAACTTGCAATTGCAAGAAAAAAAGTGAGAATTTTGGGCTGAAAAGTAGCAATTACTTTTTTCATTTTTATTCAGTGATGGAAACAAGCTTCCATAGAAAGGGAATCTTTGGATGAACAATTGAAACCGTTTTAGCAAGAAGCTAAGTTGCCATTTGTGTTTTAGGTTTTGGCTTAGCCTTCATTGCATACCCTGATGCCCTCTCTAAGCTGCCCATATCACCCCTGTGGTCAATCTTGTTCTTCGTCATGCTTATTACCCTTGGCTTGGACTCCCAGTTTGCAGGAATAGGTAAAGAACAGATTTATAATAAATCTTTTTTTTTTTTTTAATCGGTACTCAAATATTTGATTCGAATCATGATCTACAGAGGTTATCAGCACTTGCTTTCAAGATGCCTATCCCAAAGTTCTGAAGTCCAAACGGGGACTTGTTACGACAACGGTCTGCATTGTTCTTTTTCTGCTTGGCTTGCCATGCGTTACTGGGGTAAGCAAACTGTTCTGAACAGCACTGATTAGGTTGAAGGTTCAGAGAGTCTCTACAACTCACTATTACAAAATGAACCCAATTGTACTTTTAAAATCTATGTTTTGAAAGGCAGGGATATACTGGGTGAATTTATTGGACACATTTTCTGCTGGATGGATTCTCCTGGTTGCTGGATTACTGGAGGTCTTGGGTTTATGCATCCTTTACGGTAAGCATATGTTAGTAATATGTTATATTATTCTTCAATTATTGTTCTGCCCTTTTCTAAAATTCACGAGTTACATTTTCAGGTGGTAATCGTTTCATCAAGGACATTGAGATGATGATTGGGTCCAAGAGCTCCCTCTTCTGGTTATGGTGGAGAGCTTGCTGGTTCTTTATCACCCCAGTGGTTCTTTCTGTATGTACACACATATATATATATATATAAATTGTACTCGATGATGATGATGTTGTTTTTGAAATAACATTTTGTTGTTTTTAATGCAGATTATTCTTGTATGGTCTTTGTATACTTATACGCCCCCTACATATGGCTCAGTTGCATACCCAGATTGGGGCATTTCCCTGGGCTGGTGTATTACTGCATTTTGCCTCATTTGGATCCCTATTCTTGCGACCTGGAACGTGTACAAAGCTAGCGGAGGCCCCTGGCAGGTAAAGCAGAATCTTCACATTTTTATCTGTTGGCATTAAAATATTACCATGCATACTATATCAGTGGGGCATTGTATTCTTTAGTCATATTCATCTCTTGTATTTTGTCGTACAGCGTATCAAAGCAGCCTGTTCACCCAGAGAGGACTGGGGTCCTTACTTGGAGTGTCACAGAGGAGAACGTTACGGTACGAGAGACGTGGCTGATGCAAATATATTTGTAATCTCGAATAAATTCACTACTAGGTTGTAAAAAATGTTTAACATAATCATAACAGTATGTAACTTAACATAGTAAGTAAGATAACTTAACATTTTAATGTATATACTTTTAATCCCTTTGTTTGAATTAATTGCATTCTAGTTGAATTTGTGTGGATTTTATTTTTATGAGACGTTTTTATGTTTACTTTTATCTTTTTAGTTGCTCTTAATGGAACATGTACCATTTATGTTTTAATGTCCAAATTGAAATGTAATATTCATATTCTATTAATGTTCTGAATACTACGTATATAACAAATATTTTAACAGGGGTTTCATGCGATACCTGTCCTAACTGTACATGTGCATCAGATACCTGTGTGTGTGTTTACAGGGGTTTCACGTCAGATACCAGTCCTAATTGTACATGTGCATCAGATACCTGTGTGTGTGTTTACAGGGGTTTCACGTCAGATACCTGTCCTAACTGTACATGCGCATCAGATGCCTGTGTGTGTTTACAGGGGTTTCATGCGATACCTGTCCTAACTGTACATGCGCATCAGATACCTGTGTGTGTTTACAGGGGTTTCATGAGATACCTGTCCTAACTGTACATGTGCATCAGATACCTGTGTGTGTGTTTACAGGGGTAGCATGAAACCCCTGTAAACACACACACAGGTATCTGATGCAGACGTACAGTTAGGACAGGTATCGCATGAAACCCCTGTAAACACACACAGGTATCTGATGCGCATGTACAGTTAGGACAGGTATCGCATGAAACCCCTGTAAACACACACAGGTATCTGATGCAGATGTACAGTTAGGACAGGTATCGCATGAAACCCCTGTAAACACACACAGGTATCTGATGCAGACGTACAGTTAGGACAGGTATCGCATGAAACCCCTGTAAACACACACAGGTATCTGATGTACATGTACAGTTAGGACAGGTATCGCATGAAACCCCTGTAAACACACACAGGTATCTGATGCAGATGTACAGTTAGGACAGGTATCGCATGAAACCCCTGTAAACACACACAGGCATCTGATGCGCATGTACAGTTAGGACAGGTATCTGACGTGAAACCCCTGTAAACACACACACAGGTATCTGATGCACATGTACAGTTAGGACAGGTATCTGACGTGAAACCCCTGTAAACACACACAGGTATCTGATGCAGATGTACAGTTAGGACAGGTATCTCATGAAACCCCTGTAAACACACACACAGGTATCTGACGCAGACGTACAGTTAGGACAGGTATCTCATGAAACCCCTGTAAACACACACACAGGTATCTGATGCAGACGTACAGTTAGGACAGGTATCGCATGAAACCCCTGTAAACACACACAGGTATCTGATGCAGATGTACAGTTAGGACAGGTATCGCATGAAACCCCTGTAAACACACACAGGTATCTGATGCAGATGTACAGTTAGGACAGGTATCGCATGAAACCCCTGTAAACACACACAGGTATCTGATGCAGACGTACAGTTAGGACAGGTATCTGACGTGAAACCCCTGTAAACACACACAGGTATCTGATGCAGATGTACAGTTAGGACAGGTATCGCATGAAACCCCTGTAAACACACACAGGTATCTGATGCAGATGTACAGTTAGGACAGGTATCGCATGAAACCCCTGTAAACACACACAGGTATCTGATGCAGATGTACAGTTAGGACAGGTATCTCATGAAACCCCTGTAAACACACACACAGGTATCTGACGCAGACGTACAGTTAGGACAGGTATCTCATGAAACCCCTGTAAACACACACACAGGTATCTGATGCAGACGTACAGTTAGGACAGGTATCGCATGAAACCCCTGTAAACACACACAGGTATCTGATGCAGATGTACAGTTAGGACAGGTATCTCATGAAACCCCTGTAAACACACACACAGGTATCTGACGCAGACGTACAGTTAGGACAGGTATCTGACGTGAAACCCCTGTAAACACACACAGGTATCTGATGCAGATGTACAGTTAGGACAGGTATCGCATGAAACCCCTGTAAACACACACAGGTATCTGATGCAGATGTACAGTTAGGACAGGTATCGCATGAAACCCCTGTAAACACACACAGGTATCTGATGCAGATGTACAGTTAGGACAGGTATCTCATGAAACCCCTGTAAACACACACACAGGTATCTGACGCAGACGTACAGTTAGGACAGGTATCTCATGAAACCCCTGTAAACACACACACAGGTATCTGATGCAGACGTACAGTTAGGACAGGTATCGCATGAAACCCCTGTAAACACACACACAGGTATCTGATGCACATGTACAGTTAGGACAGGTATCTGACGTGAAACCCCTGTAAACACACACAGGTATCTGATGCAGATGTACAGTTAGGACAGGTATCGCATGAAACCCCTGTAAACACACACAGGTATCTGATGCACATGTACAGTTAGGACAGGTATCTCATGAAACCCCTGTAAACACACACACAGGTATCTGATGCACATGTACAGTTAGGACAGGTATCTGACGTGAAACCCCTGTAAACACACACAGGTATCTGACGCAGATGTACAGTTAGGACAGGTATCTCATGAAACCCCTGTAAACACACACACAGGTATCTGACGCAGAGATGTACAGTTAGGACAGGTATCGCATGAAGCCCCTGTAAACACACACAGGTATCTGATGCAGATGTACAGTTAGGACAGGTATCGCATGAAGCCCCTGTAACACACACACAGGTATCTGATGCACATGTACAGTTAGGACAGGTATCGCATGAAACCCCTACACACACACAGGTATCTGATGCAGATGTACAGTTAGGACAGGTATCGCATGAAACCCCTGTAAACACACACAGGTATCTGATGCGCATGTACAGTTAGGACAGGTATCGCATGAAACCCCTGTAAACACACACAGGTATTTGATGCACATGTACAGTTAGGACAGGTATCGCATGAAACCCTGTAAACACACACAGGTATTTGATGCACATGTACAGTTAGGACAGGTATCTGACGTGAAACCCCTGTATATAATATATCATATAAATACTAATCAGTATGGGTAATTAACATATAATTATCTTATATTGCAAACATTTGTATGACAAAAATGAGGGTAAGAAAACATTTAGGTACATGTGATTCATATTGTTAATCAGTGGTGTAATGTATTTGAGTAAATGTAATTATTGGTTACTTGACTACATTTTTTATTTAGTTTTTGAAGTATTATATGTATTCTTTACTCCAATACATTTCTAAAAAATAATACACTTTTTCTGTTTGCTACATAACAAATTATATTTGTTAATGCCATCTACAGGGCATTGAAGGTACTATATCTTTTGCTTTTGCCCTTACTCACCCAAACTTGTCAACAAGGCTTCTGTATGTGAATGCAAGTGCATAAGCAGGAAGTTGCATATGTTCCTTATATGAGATGAGGAGACGACTGCAGCCAGGGTTGAGACTGAAACCAGTCCAGAGAATTTGACTATTTAATTTTTCTTAACATTATCTTATTTATCCGTTATATTGAAGAGAACTTTTTGAAGTTATTGGTTTAACTTTTGAAGTTATTTTTGATATTGGTTTATTATGCCCTTTTTGAGCACTTGAGTTTAACCAAGACTTGAGTGCTTGTAGACGTTTAAAAGGCTGTTGTGTCGATCTTTATTTATTGCAATATTGAGGTGTTCACTTTGTCAAAAATAAATAAATAAAGAAATAAAATAATTATAACTATCTCATGGCCTCAAAATAGTTAACTCGTGGCCTCAAGATATAGTAAGTCTTGGCCTCAAGATAGTAACTCGTAGCCTCAAGAGAGTAACTCATGGCCTCAAGATAGTAAGTCTTGGCCTCAAGATAGTTAACTCGTGGCCTCAAGATAGTTACTCGTGGTCTCAAGATAGTAACTCGTGGCCTCTAGATAGTTAACTCGTAGCCTCAAGATATAGTAAGTCTTGGCCTCAAGATAGTAACTCGTGGCCCCAAGATAGTAACTTGTGGCCTCAAGATATAGTAAGTCTTAGCCTCAAGATAGTAACTTGTGGCCTCAAGATAGAAACTTGTGGCCTCAAGATATAGTAAGTCTTGGCCTCAAGATTGTAACTCGTGGCCCCAAGATATAGTAAGTCTTAGTCTCAAGATAGTAACTTGTGGCCTCAAGATAGTTGACTCATGGCCTCAAGATATAGTAAGTCTTGGCCTCAAGATAGTTGAGTTGTGGCTTCAAGATATAGTAAGTCTTGGCATCAAGATAGTAACTCGTGGCCTCTAGATAGTTAACTTGTGGCCTCAAGATATAGTAAGTCTTGGCCTCAAGATAGTAACTTGTGGCCTCAAGATAGTAACTTGTGGCCTAAAGATAGTAACTCGTGGCCTTAAAATAGTAACTCGTGGCCTCAATATAGTAACTCATATCCTTAAGATAGTATCTTGTGGCTCTCGTGGCATCAAGATAGTTGACTCATGGCCTCAAGGTATATTAAGTCTTGGCCTCAAGATAGTTGACTTGTGGCCTCAAGATATAGTAAGTCTTGGCATCAAGATAGTAACTCGTGGCCTCTAGATAGTTAACTTGTGGCCTCAAGATATAGTAAGTCTTGGCCTCAAGATAGTAACTCGTGGCCTCAAGATAGTACCTTGTGGCCTCAAGATAGTAACTCGTGGCCTTAAAATAGTAACTCGTGGCCTCAGTATAGTAACTCATATCCTTAAGATAGTATCTTGTGGCTTTCGTGGCCTCAAAATAGTAACTCGTGGCCTCAAAATAGTAACTCATGTCCTCAAGATAGTAACGTGTGGCCTCAAAATAGTATCTTGTGGCCTCACGATAGTAACTCGTTGCCTCAAAATAGTAACTCGTCGCCTCAAGATAGTAATTGTGGCCTCAAAATAGTATCTCGTGGCCTCAAGATAGTAACTATAATATCGTGGCTCAGGAAAAGTACTGCTACTTGGGCGCAGTCTCAGAGATATCATGCAACACCTGAAATAATGCTTGCCACAAAGAACCGGCAAAAGTAATGATTATGCATGAAACATTTTAATTGTTTATAAATATACTAGTGTTTTCTATGTCAGTGTCTGCAAAGATAATGTTGACGATGCCGACTCGCCATCTTCACAGTATTAACACGCCTATAGAGAGAAATGCACACTTCATATGAATTAGCCTACATAAGCAGAGAGTAACCAATTTCTTTTAGTTTTTAATTGTTTTGTTTGAAAGTACACATTTCGAGCTTTCGAGATATACTTCTCAGGTCTGAAATTTGGTTAATTTATGAGACGCACTCCAGTTAAAGCCTCTGTGTCCTGATTATATTGTCTACT